CATACCATTAAAAAACTACAGAAGAGGGTCTGTACATTAAAAAAAAAAGTCATTGATAAACTCTCCTATAAAACCGTGTTTCTTTAGTATCTTTGATGTTTTAGGCCCACAGGGCAGTGGCCAGTATATGGGTTGGTGTGATAGATGCACACTTGGATTTGTGGAATTAAAAGGTAGTTGAAAGTCCTGTTAGCCTTTTGGCTTTTATTTGAATTTGTACTTTTGAGGTGGCTGTAGTTTGAGCCCATTTGTCCAGAGAGCTTCCCTTGAAATTGGAACTGAGTTTCCCAGACTTTTAACAGGTTATCAAGTTCACATGCTGCTATAAAGCAGGGACAACTATACCCACTCTTTATGGTAGGTGTTTATCCAGCTTTTTCTTAGAAACATCAATTTCCTTACGCAATATATCCCAGACCTTTAAAGCTTTATAGGAAGAGAGCTCCTCCTCAGTGTTCAACTCTCTTGTTGCAGTGAGATCAATGTTTGATAGCTGATCGTATTAGAAATGATGTTAAACTGTGGATGTAATATTGCCAGTGCAGTCATTCAGAAATTATGAGTAAAGTCTTTAATTTCCTGAGATGGCTGGCTCTCTTAAAGAAAAAAAAAATCCTAACTCTAAGTTTTAATGAGGTAAAAGCCAAATCCATTTTTTGCCATCCATTCCAACCAGTTTCTGAAAGTTGTTTAGGAACCTTTCTCCTCAGCTGAGTAGTTGGGAAACAGTATCTAAATGAAAGCTGCATTTCTCATGTCATTCCTTCCCAATATTCTGGTTTAAAGTAAACATCAGCACTCTCACCAATAAACTGTGAGAACTGACAACTCAGGAAATAGAAAACTGATCAAAGATTCCTTTTCTCGAGAGACAGAACACGTTTTATACTTGAAGCATTTACCTTAGGAAATTATATTAAAAATAATATATAATGCATATATACATATTCTTAATGACTTGCTGTCTTGATAATGCCACTGACTTCTGTAGAAGTGAAATTTCTAATATCCAGGTCTTTTCTAGGTGTGACAAGTCATGGTGATGTCAAGTTTCTGCTTATATGCAATGAGAAGAAACTATTACTTTGAGCAAAGATATTCTTGAAAGTATAATTGTCAGTCACAAACAAACGATTAAGGCAAAACATACAGGCAGGAAGGAAGGGCGTTTTTTAACATTAAGCAAGTCATATGGTGCATTTTTTCAATAGCAATAATGCTGCACTAGTGTTTTGCTTTGCTCGATCAGTGGGTGGGTGCTTTGGTTCCTGATTTCTCATCGATATTGGTAGAAATCTCATGTATTTAAGCCTCTCCCATATCAATAGAGAGCCTGGTTGTACCATTGAACACACAGATAAAGTGCAGTACTCTTAAAGGTGAACAGCTGTACAGATGCTAACATTTAATTTCATCTGTAATGTCAATATCTTCAGGCGTTTTATTCTGAAGCTTATCCAAACAAAGAGAAACTCCCCTTAATTTCCCCACTGACAGTTAAGGTGTGTGTCAAAACATGGGAGTCTTCCTTTGAGGGCATCTGTCTACCAATTCAGTATCTGCATATGAATGGAGATTCATTACTGCTTTTGTTGAGGTAGATTACGTCTCTGTCTCCGGCATGAATTAACAGACATACATGCAAAAGACACTGCTCTGAGAAGAGCCTGTTCTGACAGCAACTTGTTTTGAAACACATGGATTAATAAAATGGGAATTATTCTGCATTTATTGTAATTCTTTCCTGTGTTCCTGTGGTCCACTTTGACCTGTAATCAAATTGTAACATTTTAGGGAAACTTGTAATGTGTAGGAAATAAAATCCTTCATTTCCAAGCAGCTAATCAAACCTATTAGAGATGCTAACTAATAGGAGAGCCCTGTTAAACTTCTCTGACCCTTTCCTTATGATATTGTTTCTTCAGCAGTATGTGATTTTATGATTCTTAAGCTGTCAATCTGTGTTTTTAAGTGCTGTGCTTCTGTCTAAGGCTTTGGGAAATGTTTCAGCTAAAGTATTATGGCAGTTTTGAGAACAACAGTAGTAGTTCTTGGCCCATACTAAAAGAAAGCAACTTGCTGTGTGAGCACTGGAACAAATAAAGCCCTATTTGCCTACATATATGTCTCCTCTGTCATCTGAATCCCTGTTATGTTGTTCTTAGTTCCACTGCATGAAATCAAAGTCCCTAACACAGCCAAGTAGTCCAACGTTATCCAGGTAATTTCTAAACTGTCTTTACAGATCCAAGAATTAATGGAATCCACCATTTTCTTAAACTGCTTGTATTCCTCTCTGCAATGTTAAATTGTCAGTGTAGGCTATTTTTGGATTATAGTAAAACTACTACTTGTAAAATTTATGTAAGTATACACAGAATTCACAAGTTCATATGTAACATATGTTCATATGTTTGTTTAAAGAATTGTATAAATGCTGCATCTTACAGGACGCTCACGAGTTAGGAAAAATAAAAAGCATGACATTCCTTCTTTCTAGTTGGAAATCATGATTCAAAGCCAAATGGTAGCAGAAAACACAAGTTAACAGAGGTAGAGTTGCATTTACATATCAGGGCTTCTGTTTTCTTACTATGTGCTCAAGTCACTTAACCCACCTTATTGCCAGTAAAGAGTGAGCCAGCTGCTAGTCAAAGTCTCTATGCTGACTTTCCTATAAAATATCAAACTGCTGATTTAAATCCATTTGGAAACATCTCTGGGGTGTTGACTGCAGTTCTGCTCTCTGCACCAGCCTTATTTACAAGACCATCTCTGTCTGTTATTTGTCAGTTGCTCGGTTAGCTGTTTTAAAGCCTTCCTGTATATTAATTTATAGAATACAAAGTATTTGAGGATCAACATTTCTACATACACTTAGAGTAGCTATAACTAGTAGCAGAGAGTAAGAACTTGCGACATAAATCTTCTTAGGGAAAAATGTTATCTTTTATTTTAAATATAAGAAAATGAAGCACAGCTATTTAAGTAAAATGGTATTTAGAAAAACATTTCATGTTTCTTACTCTGAACCTCTCACGTTCCAAAAATATGATTTGAATAAGAAATATTCATATCAAGAGAAAAGAGAACTCATAAAAGTTAGCCTTATTAGTTCTGGAATTCTTGTTCTTATAAGAAAACCAAGTCATTTTGTGGGGGTATCAAAGTCAGGCAACTCTGAAAGATTAGCCCAGCCTACATCAGACTATGCCAGTCACACCTAGTTTGATAGCTGCTTCCGAAAGTTCAAGAAATTGCAACATGCTATGTGTGAAGGAATACTAGATAAGCCTTGGATCCTCTGAGTATCTTACTAAGTAGTCTCAGGTGTGAAAATCATTCATCAAATTTGCAGATTTTGTGTTAATGAACAATATATGGGACAGTTATGGACTTTAACTAATATAAAGTGACTGAATACCCTTGATGCCCTGGAAGCTGTGTTACACTGATTTTCATCAGCTGAGAAGCTGAGCAGCTGATCATGTCCTTTTGGGAGTACTCAAATTTGAGAATACTCAAATTATTTAATTTAGCAGTGAGATATTGTGACTCACATTTAGGACATCTGTCTCTAGAGGGAGGGAGGTTTCCTGTTCTAATCTCTTCACAGAGATGTACAAATTTTCTCTTCTACATTTCTTCTGCATCCTGTTTTGATATTTCCTGCTGCAGCTCAATGTATGACATGATGTTACTCCAGTATATTGGGAACCATCACTGCCATGGTGATGGTCAAGCTGAGCAGCTGTGCTGAGTGTTTCAAAACTGGGATGAGCTAAAAGGGAATGAATTTGGTGAACTACTGGTGTGTTGCCGTATACATATATATATATATAGAGAGAGAGAGAGAGAGAGAGGCGGGGGAGAAATCCTCTCTAATCTTTTTACTATGTGAAGCCTCCAATTCAAACACGGGAAAAATATTTTTGGAAATTTAAAGTTGCTATTGTTTTCTGTAGTTCCTTTACCAGTAAGTCAGTTCTATCCTCAGACAGCTGAGTTCCTTAAA